GGTTAGAAAATATTAGGAATGACCTTTCTTTATTAGATTTAAACGAGAATTTGACTTTTAATAGGACACAATGGAGAAAAAGGATTCATGTAGCCGACCCCACGTAGTGTGATAAAGGCTTGATGTTGTTGTTGTTGTTGTTGTTGGTTCTAAGAATGTTATGTGAGGTTAAAAGCAAGTTAAACTAAAATTTGCATTTTTTTTTAAATTTGAAATTTAAATCCCACATGTGCTCCAATGAATTCACTAAATAACTTGAATATAACATCTGAGAATAACGGGTAGGATTAAAAGTAAAGTCGAACTAAAAATTTTCTTTTAAAATTGAAATACAAGCATTGCTCTACCCAATACATCTTAATGTTGTGGTCCGAGAATACTACATAGATTAAAAATGATATTAACTAAGCCTGAAATTTGTCAAATTCATCTTGTCATTTAATGTTTGCGTATCTCTTTTTAAATCTAAAATTAATCACATGTGCTCCAACTAATGCACCAAACTCTTCATCTTGTTGATCGGGAAAGTTACGCAAGCTAAAATTGAAATAAACTAAACTCGAAAAATGCATGATTGCTCTTTTAATTTAAAGTTTACATATCTCTTTTTAAATCTTAAATTACCTGCATGTGCTCTAACCAATGCATCAAATTCCTAAATCTAATGTATGCAAATTTTGCACTCATTCAAATTGAAGTGAACATAAATTTCAAGTTCGATCCTCCTTAAAAGGAGAGTTAACAAGACTTAAACCAAATGAATGAATAAATGATCTTGAAAGTCAAACAAATATTTGATTTTACGATTGTATTAAGCCTTCAATGTTTTATATAATGGAAATTCATTACAAAATGTAAACTCTTGAGTGCCTGTATGAAAATTTACAAAATTGATACTCAAACTCGACCCTTTGTCGACACGCAGACATATTTGACAAAGTTCAAATAATAAAATAAAATTACTTAAACTTCTGATGATGGTCACGTAAATTGAAAAATATTAACAAAAGAAAATTTACAAAATTGATACTCAAACTCGACCCTTTGTCGACACACAGACATATTTGACAAAGTTCAAATAATAAAATAAAATTACTTAAACTTCTGATGATGGTCACGTAAATTGAAAAATATTAACAAGAGAAAATTATAGAAACTTTCATAGGGTTCATCATCATTCCTCACACCATCCACTTTAAATGCAATATGATAAATTTCAAAATCTCAATGCCAAATTGGCTACTACCATACGCTTAGTAACTAATGCCTATTTAATAACTAGCCTTAATTGAAAATTCTTTCTTATCATCATGATGGATAAGTAACCACAAAGGTTTATCTAGAACTAAATCATAACATCCTGAAAAATTGAGAGTAAAATCTCAAATATTGTCCTATCTTCAATCTAATTTTCTTTCTTAAATTTTAACTTGACTACACATTGACTATAACTCTCCTATGGCAAAAGCCAGAGCGCCAATTTTTGAAGACCACGGTAGATATAAAAAACCATATCATAATATATGTCAAATAAAGAGCTGCTACATAAGTAGAGCCAAAGTTTACACATTAATGCAGATATTGATTCATTATCTAAAGTTGAGTTGGTTGATCCTCTCTAGTCTTTCTAAAGGCTCAAAAAAATATCATTGATGACAAAACATGTAAGAATCAATTCTAACAGCAACTTGGTAAAGATAGTAGTAATCTCTGTTTTATTTTATCAAACAAAGAAAGTGAGAACAAAGAAACAGAGTGTCCTTATCCCAAGCTTGGTTTTCATACAGTTATGCATCCAAAATCCTATAAGTTTGGATTCAAAAGAAGGTTACGTGTATGCTCACCAAGCACAACATTAGCCAAATTTGACATCACTAAGTAATACATCAATGAGTTATTTGAAGTTGTAGTAAGGATATTGGTCATGTTATTTAAGGCAATTTTTACCATTAGAATCAATGATCCTCTATCAACAACAACAAAAGTATAAGTCAAGAAAAGATAAAAAGAACAACGGAACAACCTCATCAGCAAACCACTGCCAAAAGACTTATGAGTGTTTGAAAAGTCAAGAGATAGTGAAAATAAGTGAGACTGGCATGATGGGCAAGTTTCTAAGAAATTGTTTCTTTTTAATATAATGCAAAAACTTTGGCAAAAGACTAAATTTTATGCTTCGCTTTTAATAGCCAACATTTTAAGCCATAAAGCATTCCAGGACTCGTCACCATCCTCCCCTTCAACAATCCAACTTTAATTCTACTAATAATATACCCATCTATTTCACCATCATTTTGAACAATTAACCTGAGATATCTAAAACATGTACTCTCTTAAATGACTTGATTGCCCAAAGTCACAATCTCCCGCTAAATATATTACTACTAAAATTATAGTCCATGTATTAGGTTTTAGATTTACTCAAACAAAAACTTTTGACTCTAAGGTTGATCTTCATAATTAAAGTTTTTCCTTCAACCCCCTCTCTAGTCTCATCAAAAAGAAAGATATCATCATTAAAAGCATACAACATGGTACATCCCCTAGCAAATGTCTAGTAAGAACATAAGTAGTTGAAGACAGAAAAAAAACTTATTTAAGTGGAGAGAAAATAAATAAAAAGAAAGAAACAAAAAAGAAAGGGTTTTTTTTCTTTTTAATTGGGAAATTTGACATAGAATATAGAATTTTTTATCCATTTTTTAATGGAGTTGAAAAAAAGGAAGTGCATAAAATATTATAATTAATCTGGCATATACGCTATCATACAAATATAGGTTATGGGCCATTTGGTTTGCTGGAAAATGAATGGAAAGCAAAAGAAATACAGTATTAAAAAAATGCAATATATTTGAAATAATTTAAGCTATTTTGAATAGTGTAAAATATATGGAAGTATATACTTTTTTTGTTTGGCTAGAAGTAAAATTAATGGAGTATGAAGTATGATGATGGTGGTGACTGATAGGTAATGGCGATGGTGGTAGTGTGGCAGTTGATGGCTAGCAGCAGGTGGCAAGTGATGGCCAGTAGCTGCGGAAGTATGGCAAAGAATTTATAGTGTATTTGAAAATTAGTCAAATCTAAAAATTTTTCAAATACATCGAAATTGAAGTAGATGGTGAATTCTAAATACTTTAAAAAATTAATCTGCACTTCTTTTACTTAAACTAAATACCAAATTTTCAAAACCCCTATATTTGGAATAGTTTACACCCATTTTATTTCAAACCAAGCAACCCTTACTGAATTCATTTCACTCCACCTTTTGTTCATTTTAAGAGAAACAAACCCCTTCATATAGAGGAAAGACTTCCTCGCATTATTTTTCTTTCTTCTCATTTAAAACTCATAACCAAAAGAACTATTTACTTTCTCACCAATTATTTTCGTTTCTCTTCAAATCCTAACTCCCAATTAGAGTGTAGGTCTAAAGTCATCCAAAGGACGGGAGCCAAATCCACTTGAGTTGGATCAAGCATGGATTCATGCTTACTCGTAAAGAAAGAGATCTTAACCAAAACATCAGCCTCTTTCTAATATATTTTCCCTAGTAAATCTAGCTTTCATGAATAGACTAGAATATTTAGTACGAATTTCCCCTTTATTTTATTAGGATTATCTTTCATTAATTAAGTTGTAATCTCTATATTATAAATAGAGGCCTCTATACCTTGAATGATAGAGAAATCGCCATGAATAATGAAATTGAAGTATTCTCAAACTCCCTTTTTCTTTTCCTGTTGATGTTACCTGAGAACCAATAAAGGCCTAGCCTAGCTAAAGCAATCATCCACCACTCTAACAGCAAAGAACATTTACAAAATAAGAAGAACAAATCGAGAATCTTCTCCAAAAGCCTAAGCAAGCTTCTGCTCATTTGTATCGTTAATGCCAAGCTTTTGGTCCACTCAGATTATGGATTAGTGTTCATTTTTTGGTTTTAGCATGGAAGCATTTTAAAATATAATTTGAGTAAAATATGTTTAAAATACTCATTAGAGTTTCTTCAAATAAGACTTATACTATGACCAACATATACTAACCCACATCCGTGAACAAATTATGACCAATTCGTGCTCATCCATCTACAGTAATGGATTGGTTTGCAATGGCTCATGCTCCTAGCACAAACAAGCAATAGCCCTATCAGCGCCTATAATTGACTTATGATGAGTACAACCAACCCACTACTGTCAATCATTGACTCGTAATTGCCCTAACATGGCCCGTTATCCCATTTCAGGAAATATAACAAAACTTCCGGCCAAAATTAGATTTTATCAATTTTCTGGCTATTTTTTTACCAGCTCAGTTGATACTACACGCTTTTAGTGGAAACTCGGCTATGATTTTCATAATAAATAAATTAAAAAAAAAAAGTAAAATGTGACTTGACTCTATGATTTTTTTACAAATAACACGTGAAAGTAGCAAGTCGGCCATCCTAATGGCTTTTTGAGCAAAAAGTTTAGGGAAAATAAGGAAGACAGAAGTAACTTGGAAGGGTATAAATCATGTAAAAAGGAAGCAAACGAATGGCAGGGAAAAAAATTGGTACAAGTGATCGATTCTGGCCTGCGAAAAGACCATGAAGTGGTCAAATTTTCATCATTCGCATTTGAATGAGGATACCATCTCGAATTATACAATGAAATAAATGGAAGAATTACTTGGTCGATCAATGGATAAGACAATTAAAAGGAACCAAAATATCCTACTTGAAGGAACCATTTATACATATTAATTAAAAAAAAAAATAGCAGCCCACTCTTCACATTCTAGATCTACTCCTCAATATACCAATTCTAAAATTAAAAGAATGTAGATGAGAGAATTCTACCAGAAAATTGTGAAAACCTAGCAACATTGGAAGTTAAATGGTCCGCACACCTGAAACTGAGCCACCTCGCCATCAATCTTTATTGAGAAAATGAGGACTTGACTCAACAACAATAGTTCTAACAGAAAAGATGAACAGTAAAAAAAGACAGACTTACCCTGTGAATCCTCCAGTGTATGGCTTAGCACTACCATTTACAAAGAGAAGAATAGTAGGAAATCCCTTGATGTCAAGCAGCTTTGCCGCCTTAGTATAGCGCTCCGCATCAAGCTTCGCCATTACAACCGGACTTTTCATCTCCTTCAGCGCTGTGGCAGCCTCGGCAAACCTAGGCATTAACTCAGCACTCCTCTGACACCAGGGAGCATAACCCAAAACCAAAACCAGCTCATTCCCATCGATAACCCGCTTGACATTCTCGTTGTTGAGCTCGACAACGATCCTTTGGGCTCGGCTAAGGAGCTCCGCTTCTGAGGGCTTTCCTTGAGCGGCGCCGCCCTTGTCCTCCTCCTCGTCAATAGAGAGAAGCTGTTCGAGATCTTCCAAATCCTCATTAACATTGTCTGCAAGCGAGATAGAAGAAAGGAGCGAGAGGAAGAAGAGAAACGCGAGCGTTCTGCTGCTGATGGTCATCATGTCGGCTGAAGAAGTAGATTTGCTAGAAGTGTTTGGTGGGGTCTTACAGCCAAATCAAGATCGAGAGATGATGCTGGGTGAAGCAAACTCTAATGGAATATGAAGATCATAGAAACGAGAAACGAGGAGGTTCGAGTACGTGGAAGTACTAAAATTTTGAAGGTTAGATAGGTTAATGGTATGAAATAAAATGGTCTGTATATAAATTTTTTTTTTAACACAACTCTCCTTGGTTTATTGTTTGAGAGTTTAGGCTTCCAACTAAGAAATTCAAGGTTGGAGTCCATGTGTATGCGTTGTATGTGTGAGTTTGCCTTAAATGGCCTAAATGTCCCAAAAAAAAAATTTCTTTTTTATTTTTTAATGAAGGAGCTTGGGTTTGGGATAAAGTTTTTTTTTTTTTTTTTTGGAAAAATTAGGGGCATTATCTAATTCATTAATCAAGAAATGACATAACATTGTAAGATATTACACAATAAGAGAAAAGATAGTGTGAGTGCCGGCAATCCAAAATAGTCAAAAAGCCCACTAACCACAAGTTAATGAAAAATTATAACCGAAATAAATAGATAACAACAAATTAGCCAAAACATGAGAGCACAAAAGCAAAGAAAGAGAAACCTAAATTCATGAGTCCCACAGATGCCATGAATCAGGGAAAATTAAAAGAACCATGAGGATGAAGAAGCTTAATGGTCATACTCCTCTAATTGTCGAATGACTTACAAGGTGAGGAGGTCTGGAGATTAAGGGATGACCATCATCATCCATGGAATTAGAAATTCCACCAGACCAAAAAAATCATCATGAAGGAAAGGAACAACAACCAAAACCCGTTAAGCAACAGATGACGTGGAGAGCAGAAGCAAGAGAACATATGACCTACCAACGAAAAGTAGCAACAAAACAATATATAGAGCAACATAAATAGAGCAAACTATCTGAGCATTAGGGATTAAGAAAGCCTTTAAGAATATTCACATATTTCCACTTTGAAATCTTCAGGTAAAATGTTTTCTTAATATTGGAACATATAGTAGAGGAGCTCCCAAAATTAGAATTAAACCTTCTATCATTTTTTACTTTCTATACATGATATAAAATGCAGCAAATGATAAGGTAATAAAAGTTTTTAGAATCCTTAGTTTGGCTATATAGCTCATTAACATAGTAAAAAACCTGAAGCAAGTTAGGTCGCAAAAGAAAGTTTCCCAATATGTGAAAAAAATTAGCTAAAATAGAGAAAGAATAATCACACACAAATAGGAAATGAGCAAAATTTTCAAAGTTAGCGCTAAAAAGAGAGCACATAGAATCAACATGAATATTCCTTCTACCTAGTGCTTCAGTAGTTTTTAAGCCCCCTTTCAAAGCCAACCAAGCAAATACCGAGTACCTAAGAGCATGATGTTTATGCCAAACAACATTGAACTAATTGCAAATGGAGTCCTTATAATAATTATTTAGACAACTAAACAAAGTGGGACCATTCATGATAACATGAAGCTCTCCACTTCCATCATGTCGGCTCAAGACAGCAACAGAAAACAGAGCAGCCGCTATAGCAGACTGCAAAAGCAAAGCACTGAAGTATCTCAACCGCTGATGGATACATCAATAGCTTAACTTGATTATTTACTTTTAGTCTTTGATCTGATCTCATTTATGAGATATATATTAACTCTTGTAATGGCTTTCGTTTGTAATGAAGAAAATGAAGTGGTGCTGCTCAAGTTGTGAACATATTTATTGTTCTTCTATGTTCTCTCTTCATTCTAGGTTTTCATAGTTAATGTTATTTCACTGACCATCAACAGAAGATGTAAACATGGTATCAGAGATCCTACCATAAGGTTCTTTTCTTTGCTTATTTATAGAGCTGCTACAGTAAGTTATTTATCATTCAAAATGTCTGTTTCGGCTACTTTGTCTAACTCCTCTTCGGCGGCAGCATCTGCCTACAATCATCTGACGGACACACAAACCCCCTCCTCCCTCAAATTTCTTATGAACAACATTAAACATGTTGTCCATTCTCAACTCACCCCCGATAATCACTCTACCTGGCGAGCTCAGGTTATCAAAGTTTTTCAAGAAAATGGTTTCCTTGGTTTTCTTGATGGCACTGCCACTGCTCCAGCAGAGTATCTTCTAAGTTCCGATCAATCTCATTCAGTTAGTGCATATTTTACACTTTGGCAACTTATAGATCAGAACCTGACAGCAGCTTTGTATTCAGTCATTTCTCCTCCTCTGTTACCTTATGTTCTAAACTTAGAACACACTCATTATGTATGGGTAACTATTGACAAACGGTTGCAATCAATGAACCGTTCACGCATCCTGCAACTTAAGAATGAACTTCATCATTTAACCATGAAATATATGACAATGACTCAATATATTTCTCTGGTTAAATCCAAAGTGGATGCAATCAATGCTGTTGGTAGCAGCATAGATACTGAAGATATAATTTTATACACTCTCAATGGTCTACCAACAACCTACAATGCTTTCAAAACCTCCATTCGGACAAATTTGCAACCACTCAGCTTAGATGATCTGTACTCATTGCTGTGCAATGTGGAAATAAATCTAACTGCGAATGCTTTAAAGGAAACTCAGCTGGTTGATACCGCCGATCCATCTATAGCGCGGCCGAGGCCGAGGCCGAGGCCATTACTCGGATAACAGATCGAGACCGTATAATAAAAGAGGATGCAATACTGGTCGTGCGAATGGAACTTCAAACTGTTCCGTTGAATGCCAAATCCGTCAAAGGCGAGGTCACTCTGCTACATCATGCTGGTATAGAGGTGATTTTTCATATCAGCCACAGCAAAATGCTGCTCTATCTGCTATGTCAAATTCATCAAATTCTGAATGGTACCTGGACACCGGCGCCAGCTCTCACTTAACATCTGATTCTTCTCAACTTTATTCACCACAACCTTACAATGGCACAAATCATATAACTGTTGGGAATGGTCAACATCTACCCATTTCCGCCACAGGTTAAGGAATTTTACCCACACCCACTTGTAAGTTTAAACTTAAGCATCTATACTTTGTTCCTCATCTCACACATAACTTACTTTCCGTTTGATAACTCACCTCTAATAACAATTGTTCTGTTCTCTTTGATTCTAACAGCTTTAAAATAAAGGACTTGAAGAATCACTCCACTCTCCTCCAAGGTCGCTGCCATGACGGATTGTATCCAATCTCTACCGCATTATACACTAAGTCATCTAGTCCTCTCGCGTCTTCTACAGCATCTTCTCTATGGCACAAGCGTCAGGGACATCCAAATTTGACCACTTTGGCAACTCTTCGAGCCATGCATCCCTCTTTAATTATTACTTCAGTGTCTAGTAATTGTATGTCATGTTCTCAATCCAAATGTCATATGTCTACTTTTAATATTTCCACTTCATATGCAACGAAACCTCTTCAACTTATTCACTCAGATGTATGCGGGCCTTCCCCAATACCTTCAATGAATGGATTTCGTTATTATGTTGCTTTTATTGACGACTTCTCTCGTTATACCTGGTTGTTCCCAATGATTCAAAAATCATAAACATTTCAGCATTTTAAACAATTTAAAACAATGGATGAAAAACAATTTCAAACAACCATTCAGGTTTTTAGATATGACTCTAGCACTGAATACACAAATAAAAATTTTCAGCACTTTCTTAGAAACCATGGCATTCAACAACAATTTAGTTGTCCTTACATGCCCCAACAAAATGGCTTAGCTGAGCGTAAGCATCGTCATATTATTGAGACCACTCGCACATTTCTTCTTGATGCAAACTTACCGTACCATTTTTGGGTATATGCTGCTCTCACAGCAGTATATCTAATTAACAGACTTCCATCCCCAATTACCAATTATCGTTCACCATATCATATCCTTTACAATAGAGTGCCAAACTATAAATTCTTGAAAGTTTTTGGTTGTTTATGTTTTCCTCTCCTACCTCCACATAAATTTCACAAACTAGCTCCTAAAGCTATGCAATCAATCTTTCTTGGGTATGCCCCAACTTCAAAAGGATATCTCTGTTTAAATATTCTAACAGGAAAAGTCACTAATTCTGTTAATGTTACCTTTCGAGAAAGAATATTTTCGTTTCAGAATTTTTCTCCAACAACAACTACTTCAACAACACCTCCCAGTCCTAATCCTCCACCTTTGACGCTTGTGCATATTCCATCAACACAACATTCTTCTAATCTTCCTCACAAAACTTCTACAGCAACTCAATCAACCTCCTCCAAATTCACAACACCAAGTATAACTTCTACATCTCTCTCCAGCTCATCCAGCCCGTCCATTACATCACCTCCAATAAAACCACATCATATGACCACTCGTTCTCAAACAGGAAATCTCAAACCACGTTCAATCTTCAACCTTCTTCATGTCACCAATACTCTCCATGATCCAACAAGTTATAGTGATGCGATTAAATATTCATATTGGCTCAATGCGATGTCTGAAGAATTTCAAGCCCTCCAATTACAAGGCACTTGGACACTTGTGCCACATCATTCCTCTTATAATGTGCTAGGCAACAAGTGGTTATTTCGTACCAAACTAAATGATGATGGCACCATTGCTCGTTACAAAGCACAACTTGTGGCTCAAGGTTAATACCAAGAATATGGTCTTGATTACTTCGAAACTTTCAGTCTGGTAGCAAAGTTTTAGATCATTCGTGTATTTCTTACCCGTGCCATAGCAAACGAGTGGAACGTAACCCAGCTTGATGTGTCAAATGCATTTCTACATGGAAAAATTGAAGAAAATGTTTATATGCATCAACCAAAGGGCTTTACAGATTCTATAAATCCTGACTATGTTTGCAAGTTGAACAAAGCTATATATGGCTTGAAACAATCTCCGAGACAGTGGTTTTCAACATTCACTGAATATCTCCTCCAATGGGGTTTTAATTTCAGTCAAGCGGATCCTTCTTTACTCATCTACACATCAAAAACTACTTCAATTTACTTGCTTGTTTATTTACATGATATCCTATTAATGGGAAATGATGAAGCAGCTCTTTCACAATTATTAAATGATTTGCAACAACAGTTTGTGGTCAAAATCCTTAGCAATCTACACACTTTTCTGGGTTTACAAGTAAATCA